GCTGGTTGGTCATGTTTATTTAGTAAGTAAGTCTCTTTTCTGCCTATTGCGACATGGAATATGGATAATATCCTTGGATAATGAATATTAAGTGACTTAAGCTAGTTTGAATCATTTCATTTGTACATCTGACAAGATTTCAACAAATTAGAATTATCAACATTCATGAAGGTTGTGCTGTATGTAGTTGTGACCAGGAGCTCTCAAATAACTTATCTACTCAAATACAAAGAACAAACGAATTTTTTTTAACTTTTCAAGCCTTTCATATAACCCTTAGATACAGAAACAAACGAGGTTTGCCAACTTATACTGCCCTTGCAAAAAGCAATTAATACAGGAACGAACTAATTTTCCAACTTACACGAGCCTGTCAAATAGACCTTAGATAATGAAACAAAACGAAATGCAAATATTGCCTTACTAATAAACATTATATGCAGAAACGAACGAAATTTATTTGCCGAACAAATTTGAGCTAGCGCTGATGGAATATTTTTCTTTTTTATCCATTACTATTTTTGCTTTAACAAGAAATTTGTTTTTACTCATGAGGAAATATGTTTCTACAAAATACACACTTTCTTAACTGACAAAAAAAATCATCATGTGGTGAAATAAAAGCAATTTGGTTATCAATAATCTGCTTTGTATCACAACAAAACTTTTGAACAATCAAATTTCATAAAAAAAATTTCAGGAATAAAATCATGTCTTCCAAATTGGGTTTTATCATCGTTCGGTTTGTTTTTACTGTATCCATTAATACCTAAAATAAAAAATAAAAATCAAATGATCATGATTCAGAAAGGAATCTCATTTAGGCTTTAATTGACTATCCCTCATTGCATTTTAGTTTGTTTTAGATTTGAAGGATTTAAAGACATTATCAGTTGGAGATATCCTGTCAAGGTTCCTAATGTATCTTTACCAACCACATTAACAGTCCTACATACTCTAATAAAACATTTCTAACCTTGGTTAACCACAGACCTAGTATTAGTTCTAGAATTTCAATGCAAAGCACATTGGAAGGAAAACCACAAATAGCAGGGAGGTTAAAGATAAATTTAGAACACGAAAGAAATATTCTAAAGTGGCTGTACTGTTAGAGATAAACGAATGCAACAATGATAAGTATCATGGCCGTTAAGAGCACTATAAAAATAGTTTTGAAAATAATAAACTTTCATGGTATACAGGTTTTTTTAAAAATAATTAATCATATTCTGTGCAGTTCGTAATGTATTGTATAACTTTTGAATTATTATGTAGTATTGATAAACAATGCCGACTGAGATACCGAAATAAATCTTTAAAAAATCGGTAAATATCGCCATATCTAAAATTTAAAAAAAAGTATTAAGATATGAATGTGAAAATATTAATTTATAAATAAGAAGATGTTTACATATAACTTAAAATTTACAAAGATGTTTATATGTTACTTTCAATTTGCCATTGCTTTTTTTATTGAAATGCAGAATGATTTCATAAAACTGCAAAAGGCAATAGATACTGATTATACCAACATACCTGAAAGTAAACTTTTAAATATATATATCATACAATAACATAATTATAACATATTATTTTGTTTACTTTTTGCAAAAAAAAGAGAGAAATATTATATTTGTGTTAGATAGGTAAATCATACGGACATGCTTTCAGAGTTTAAACCGTCTACAATACCTATTTGATCACCTCAGGCAAAATCTTAATAAAGATATATCAGAGAGGATTATAAAGTTAAATGAAGTAGTACGGTGTCTAGAGAATGTATTAAAAGTCTATATCAAGTGTCTATCAGGTTTAATTTATTGTTCCTTTGTTTTGATGTTCTCACACTTGAACGTTATGTGCAATAAAATGTTTAGTTTAGCAAATTGATTTCAGTGCGCAGTAATTTAATTTTAATAAAGATATACTTTCTTATCAGCAAAAAGGCTTTTCGTGCTGCCATCATTCTTAATCCAAATCTCAGATAGCTTTATGTGAACAGTTTGTGCGCAGTTATTCTATTCAACAAAAAATGTCATTTAATGCAAAAAGGTGGCGTCGAGGGGTTTAGCTCAGTTTCGTTTTGCCAACTCTCGCATTACAAAAGGCTTGATTCATTAATCAAATTATAATCTATCCACCTTCCTACTTTAAACCTGTCTATATTTGGTCATGAAACATTGACAATAAATTCCTCGGAGGCATTTTTGACGGGATCGAATTTCTTCATCACACCCAAATTTATTCTAATTCGATTTTTTTTATAAAATCGCCTAACATTGTGGTTTTAAAAAGAAACGCTATTGTTGACTTAAGGCATAGTTTTCGTGTAACGTATGTCCATTTTCTTCGTGTATTATATCTGATACAGATACTGTATTTTGCCTTTTATAACAGTCACTGAACTTTTTTATCATGAATTTATCGTTTACAAAAGATTTGATCTGTTTTATCTTACACCATCCTCTTATGTTAACCTTACTTTTTCTACTGGCGAATGTCATTCTATTAACATAGATAACATATTCAATTTAGTAGTTACTTTATACAGTAATAGCTTTTTTGTACCGGTTTCTCCTTTATACTAACACTTAACTTGAGTGTCATTAGTTTAAATGAGTTTTGTAAGTCTGAACTGTTGTCTTATAAAATAATTTCCTCATCATTATAATTCATTCTTCTTATTTAAAATTCATATTTCCGCACCTTACTATTTTTAAAAACTATTAGGATTTCAATTAAAACAATGATCTAATCAAACATTGAATCATGGACATATAGACTGTCCCAGCATTGTCCTGATGGTATCTTTGTGACTCTTTTTTCACAGAGGTAATGTAAAATATAAGAATGTTTCCTTTACGAAACACTTCCATACGTGTTACTTTACTTTTCAAACATCATACATTAATTTAGACACAATAATGACATTTTTATCATTGGTATTGCCATAAATGAAATGTAAAGATAGATTAGAAAATATCATTCATGAGGAATTTAGTAATAAAGATATACTTATATTTTTTATGATAATAGTCATTCCAGATTCTTCTTACATAAATAACTGTGCCATTACTATAAGTGATAACAACAGCTACAATCTGTCTATTTTTAACCTTTTTATAATGTATCCAGCCTCCGCATCTCAGCACGAATTTTAACCGGGACTATCCCATACCAAGATAACTTTTAATTAACCTGTATACCTTTTTAACGAAAACGACCCCTGCAACGCTGATTGTTATGTATGTTTTTTTAAAGTATGAATAATTTTATGCATACACGGAATAGCTAGCATATCTTCATGTCTGTATCATACAGTATGATAAGCCTTGTCTTGTTTACTCTCTATTTTAACTTCATTGAGAATATTTCAGTAGTATGTACAGGTACATTCAAACACAGAGTGCCAATTAAATTGCTCCTTTGATAACGTGCTTTGTTAAAAGCAGTTCAACATGCATTTTGCAAACATTGTAATTAGCAAAGTTGCAAACTTGATACAAAGGTCCTGACGTCACAGTTTTATTCAATTGTTTTTATTTAGGGAAATTTCCTACTTCAAAACCTTTTAATACAAGAGATTGTTCTTTGATACAATTTAACCGTCACCATTAGTAAAATGATTGCAAGCTTTTTTAATTTCCATACTTACGTATTGTAAAAATAATAATGAATATAAATCTTAGTTACGAACAAATATTTTATTGAGATTTACGTCAAAACGTTCGTGCTATTCTCGTTTGCAAAAGAAAGGTGTATACTTGATGATTTTTTGCAAAAATGTGTGGGCTACACAATGGCTTACTTGGTATCAAATTTTGATGATTATCAGAATTTCGGTCCCGTAGAAATTGTATAAGGGTGATGGGATTTTAGTTCTTTAAATGATCAAACTCAATTAAATGTGAAACATCGTGTTAAAAGCATTCCTGCAAATTAATGTACCAAATATGCCATCATTTTTCTAAAATAAGTATACAAAATGTTCCTGTAACCAAGTGCCAGTTTATTTTGCAACTCAGTATATACAATATACTTGTATTATATGTCTGTAACCTACTATTCTTATCTACATGTAGGGGGCGGTACTGCATAATTAATATCCATTTTATTGGTATGTTAAGACTCGTTTATATCAACAATTTACCACAATGTTTAACTAATATAAACCACTGAATGCATTTTACACCACACCTGCATTGTAAACGTTTGAAGACAATTTCTTTCTAGTTAATAGCCCATTAGAAATTAACATGAAGATTCTATCGATTTTTAAACGCAACAATTCGCAGGAAAAATATGAATATTTGTCGTATGACCATGTTGGTGGCTCAGCATCCATAGCAATATTTCCCCACCCTATTATCGCTAAATATACACGTTTTGTTATGACATTTTGAATTCTTAAGTAGATGATGCCATTCTATTCTAAACGGTTTCTTTTCACACTTGGTGTTACATTTTTTCCCTGTAAGATATGCTATTTTAATGTTTTGAAGATATTAAAGGAATTCATGCATCCGGAATATCTCATATACCTTGACATTTCCTTTCAACAGAACTCTCAAGTAAAGATTTCCAAGTGTCGCTACCGAGGAGTGGTTTATATGTTACTGCAGTATTTGCTTAATCCAAATTCGTGCGTGACACGGTATTTCAGACTTCTAGCTAATTGTTTGTGCACTTACTTACCAGTCAAAAACAAATTTGACAAGACTAATTACAACTAATTAACCCTTGGTTATATAATACGCTTCTTCCGAAAACATTGCGCACGAGCGTTCTTTCATTGAGCGGAACGTGATTTCGACACCGCACTATACATTAAACGTACAATATATCTAAATATGGGAACGAGAGTACGCCTCTAGAACGAAAGGAACGATCTTATTCGCTGGGAAGCTTTAGCGCGTGTCAAAAGTGATAAACTTTACGCCCACCTGTATGTTTTACTACTGAAACGTAGTAAACATTGTATGTCAAGGTACCCACAAATCCCACGGTATAAAAGGAACGATATTTCTCGTACTATTATATAATCTGCATATTGCAAAGACGGTTTAAGTCGTAATTTACTGAAGCATTTACTAGAGAACGTTTAAATATTTAAAATTGATTATCAGTATCTAATACTGTGTGTGATTCAACCGAAGTGAAAATGATTTTTCTAGGATCTATTTTAGCTATATTGTGCACTGTTACAGTAAGTGATTTATTTATACAATATTTACATAAAATAAAAATATATATTTTAGCTATATTGTGCACTGTTACAGTAAGTGATTTATTTATAAAATATTTACATAAAATAAAAATAGCTTTAAACAATAATGAATTAGGTAAAATTGTACTTATACAATAATTCTAATATATCTATATAATTTTTCATTAATTAAAAAATGCAGTTTTGAAAAATAAAGATTATGTTATATCTTCAGATACTTCAGTAACAAAAGATACAAACTTCAAAGTTAAATTTATGATACTAAAATAACTTAGTTCAATTTGATCACATATTCATTTGTTGATACATTTAACTTAACATAACGAACACCTTAAGCCAAATTTTTGTTTAAAAAGTCAGTAAACCATTACAAATCAAAATGTTAAATGAATATTCAAAATAAATAAGCTTCTGAAATGAATACTGTCAAAATGATACGTTACAAAGTTTCCATCTATTAATGGTCTCATTGATCTAACCTTTGATCAATAGCCTATATGATTTATTTAAGAATGACTGTTGTCTAATTGATTTGTAACTGTTATCTGATATACCTATACGTGGTACATTATCACGACGATCTTCAATACTGTACTTAACATACCAAAGATACCAAATTTAAATTTATTACCAAGGTTTAAAACAATAAAAATAAATCCCATTTTAAATACCGTTAACGCAAATCTAAAGCACCCCGCGATGCCAGCCTGAAATATTAGAGTTCGTAAATGCTAATGCTGATGTATCCAAGTTATCAAATTATAGATAAACAAAGGTATCTTATGTTTTATTACCTACCTGTTGCTACAATGTTGTTACCTTGATACCATTGTCATAGAGACCATTAAAATATAAAATTGTGTACAAAAATTAATAATATCATCTACTTTTATTTACATAAATGGAACACCATTTACTATTTCCCCCCTTTCCCGATACATTCTCAAATAAAGAATCCCTAAAGAAAGCCGAACACAAAAAATGAAAATGTTGCGGACTCGGTTTGGTTGAGCCTGTTCATTAGACTTATTTAACTTTTTTAAGACGATATAAAAAAAATTAATTTCCATTTACATGTGTATGTACAGAAATTTACATTTTGCAGCATCATTCGCCACTTTATATCATATGGTTAAAAGATTCTTTTTTGTAAAAAAGCGAAATTAAATATCTGCTTTTATGAATATATTTATATTTAAACCATTAATTTACACCAAACATCAAACAGTACTAATATTATATAGCATGTGTTTTTTTTTATTGTCTGTGCGGGAAACAAACGTGTAAATTAAATTTTAATTGCAACACGCTGTAGATCTAATAAAATTCTGTGGTCGCTGTAGATCTAATAAAATTCTGAGGTCGATATAAAAATTAATGTCGTGCAAACATTGCATCGTTAAAACGTTTCGGTATTTAAAAAGCAATCAACCAGATTCTTGCTACGACCTGCTTCTGAATAACTAGGTCGCATTGTTTCCAATTGTAAAGTAATTAAGAGAAAAATAACATAGACTTGTGATATTAATGATGAATAATGAGTGGAATATAATGATACGGACACCGTGTTAACATACCTTCCTAATATATCTGATGTAAAATGTCATGCTTAATGTTACGCTTTGAGCGCACCAGCCTCAATTTTGTGCTAAGTAATCGTCGTAACAGGTAATTTGATTAGAGCGTCGGAAGAAATGAATATATATATATATAGACGAGACGTTTATCATATTGAAAACAGACTGTCTAAATGTTTTTGCACTTTGTACATAAATAACTCTTGTTTTCATTATTTCCAGATGATAATGAAAGCAAACTAATTTGACATGCACATTTGTGTTCTCACATTTTTGTTAAACATTAAGCGGGATGCAAAGACATGAACGAAATCTTGCATCTGTATATCTCACATGGCCGTCCAAGATATAGAAAATGAAATCAATAAGAAAAAAAAATCTAGTGACCTAACATGATCAACCTGTTTTTTTATGCGACAGCTATTCTGTTTAAATAAATCTTTCTGGGAGTTAATATACCTTCGCTTTTTATAATAATTAATGCAGATCATGTAGGTTGTATAGCAGCTGGTAACATTTTCCATTACAAATAATTTATAGACCAAGTTATAACCGGATATGCACACTTATTCAAGGGTCTTTCATAGAAAAAGGATTCTAAGTCTTGTTTTGTTAAGAGATTTTGAGGACATGTAACCAATTGAATACCTTGATTTATACCGTAATTTATCATCTTCAAGAAGACCTTGTTAATTTTAAAAGTACATGGCCTAAAGTAACAGGTTTCGTATCGTTCCGCGTTTTGTAATTACACTTGGTTTTAGTGAGTTTTTTTCCGTTTAGTTAAAGGCAATTATCTAACCAAAGAATGAAAATGATGTTATGATAGTTTTCACAATTAGATGATTTATATAGCAAACGGGAAACTATCTAATTAAATTACAAAATTTCAAAACCCTCAATCTGTCAGACTGTGATAAGTAAAGGGAAATAAGATCAACAGTATATTGTTACATACAAGAATTACAGGTAACGACAGCAAGCATTGAGGTTAAGTCAGGCGAAATGAGCAGATTGAACGCATAATGACAAGTTGCCGCCATTAGCTTTACAAATTTTGTTTCAATGTATCAGATATGTATCAAACTACTGTTAAAATACGTTTATCTACATTCTTTTCTGCTTTTATTTCAGGTTGCACAAAGAATGACCCTAAGTGGTAAGTTTCTTAAATTTCTATAAAATGATTTGCTTACGTAAATACTTATTTTATTGTAGTGACTTAACAACAAAACTTTAATCGGAAATTAAACGATCCACACATATAGAAATTAAGTTTACTATATATCTCATTATGTTGCGCAGTATTACACGAGCAAAGCATTCAACTCGTGCAATTAAACATTCACAACAAACTAAAGATTGGATAAGCGTTTAAATGTATGTCCATTTTTATCTTCGGACCACATGTCCTTTATTGTCATCGCTTGCCACAGAATATCAAAAAACAAGAAGACAAATAAATTTTTATTTGTTTAATAACTGTATCAATTTGTGGATCGCATGAGTCTGAAGAACATTTCCTCGATATAAAACGCAAATAATTATTTTTCAGAGTATGTGATCTATTTTTGTGCCGGCTATGATCAGAATTAAAGTTTTGTAATATTTTGAATTGTTTTTTAAGTTCCAATCTTCTATAAACCGTTGAGATAACAACGCATTCCTGTCTCTTATGGTTCTTTTTGTGTGACACTGTTTGCCATTGGTATCTGTCAGTTACATTTATGACGTTCGGTGGAATGCATAGATTCTTCGATATTATCTAGCCTTGTTTGTCGAATGTCTCAAAAAAGGTCAATGTATACATCCTTCGTTTTCATTGTGACGCCCGATCTTCCACATGCAACGTTGTTTGTTATCAATTAAGGTAATCAAGATTAAACACGAGCGGTATATTGTATAAGAAGGACAACTGCGGTATCACGGACAACTATTACACGAGAAGCGATTTGACACACTAATTGACAAGTTAGATTACGATAACAGATACATGTCCAGATAATATCTTCCTAGGGGAATCCTCATTAAATCTAAATCATAAAAAAGTAACCAGTATCGCGTAATTGTCATTAAAAACCTGTTCCAAAATTTGAAAAACGATAGAAGTTTATTCCAAGGGTATCTCCTATGGGTGTTCATTTTGTCATTACCATAATATTGGTATAGTTTCATCTCTATAAAGAATGAAAACATGAAAATGAAATGCACCGGTTCATTGACTATAATTATGTAATATACATGCATTATGTAATATACCCGTCAGTATTATAAATTATAGAATTGTATTTTCCGAAGACTAAAAGTATTTTAATGTGTTAATTTAAGCAAACAAATCATTTGGATGAATGTGATATAACAGTGCCTATCAAAATAAACAAGCTTCATTGTTTTGCAATATTTGAAGGCGTAAGTCATTAACCATTCAGGAAACATAAAATGATGTTCTGGTCTATTTATCAATGATTCCAACAGGTATTTACTTGCTCAAGGTTTTATTAAACGATTATTCCAGCAAACATGTGGTTTTTGGGTTGCATGAACATTTTCTTTTAACTGCTTTCCCACTTAAGTTGTATTAAGCATTTAGTTTAATTTAAGCTGCAGTCTGGTTTCTTATAAATTCATCATTTCACAGCTTATATATAAAGTATGTGGCTATAGAGGTAACCCTGTAACCCTGTTATTTCAAACCATTCCCCCACCGCTTTGGGGTTAATCCCACCACAGACTTAGAATTATTTCGTGTGATGAAGTATCCATCTATAGCTCGGAAAGTCGGGACACGGAGGGCATTTCAGGTCTTTTTTCCATGTCATCATCTGATTACCACTATAAAGTTGAGACAATATAAATATCGTGACTATTGTGCTGTTCTGTCCCTTGTTTTATTTTTAAAATGAAAACGAAAAGCTTTTATTTTTGTGCGTTCTTCAAAAGTTCCGGGATGGGGAAAATCATTTGAGAAACTGTATAAAAAAAAGTTTATGAGAAGAGTTTTGATAGTTTAAAAATTTAGCTTATTTCTAATAACAATAATTGTATTTAATTCCGGTTTCGTAGCTATTTATATTTTTTCTCAATATGTGCACTTGTAATCCATGAGTTAAATCATGGACTGTAAATCGTTGTTTATGTCCTTGAAGTTGAACTCGTTTTTGTGCCGCTTTTTGTATTTTTTTAATTCAAATGTTTTTGCAAAGTCATTATTTTCTTATATATAAATATCGATTGTCAAATATTTACAGGAATATATATATGGACATGGTATTAGATGACAATGTTTAAATAAGAATAAAAACTATCAAATTATGCTTATATCTCGTCTATCCTAGTAAAGTTCATCTTTTATATGTATTCTCTTGTAACATTTGTCGGGTCATTTTTTCTACGCATTGCACTATTTGCTTTCGGGACAATTCCCATCAAAATTTGCCTCACGATGCTACACTGTTTTATCTAAATGATAGAAGTAGACACAGATAAGGTAGTTAATACTTGTTATTCAAGTAGTTTACGATTTATAGTTGTGAAATGCAATGGCTACTTAAGTCAAGTACTTCAGACCCAATATTGTTTTATGATTTGTCATACCACAATAAGGATGTCGTTGAGCATACTTATGATGCAATATGTCTATAAATAGCCGTAGACTTCTTTTAATTTTCGTTACTTCAGTGAAATTCTCACGGAGTTCCCCCTTTTTTACCTGCCGTAAATTTGTATATACATGTATATCTTTCTTTTGAAATGAAACACAATTTAAGAGGAAACAATAAATTAAAGCAAATATTACGCGTACAGGGATATTTACGAACATGCATATTTTAGTATTAATTAAGCCATTTCAGCACAATTTCATTGATGAATCAAATAGTTGCAATAGAGTATTAAAGAGGCAATAATATTTGCTGTAACAATTCATCAAATACCCCATGAAAACTATTAATTATGTCTACAGGATTAAGCGAGAACAAATTGGTCTGACTCAGTGACTCTGACATACCACTGTTCACTTAATGAGATATCGTTTTCTAGCTAATTCTCTATCTGCTGGTATTAAAATACTCAATGAAAAAATACTAAGCTTACCTATCTTACATACCCATCTTAATGTTATCAATTAGGAATGTGATAGAGGCGGTTTCGGCTTGGTTATGAATCAGGTTAAAGTAATCATGATTTATGTATATTTTGAAAAAAAGTAGTTCGGTGTATGAGTATCTGTATAAAATCTGAATTTTAGAGTAATGCTACATAAATACACCAGCTACATCCATTTCGTGTGATGCAATCTCGTTAGTCAGATATACATCTAGGTGAGTAGATGAACTGTGAAATAAATATACCATATACCATTAAATCTGTCTCTTTCCCGCCCGCATTACATCCCATATTTCGCGAGTAAGTTGGAAAATTTCTTTTAACTTTTACACATCAATTAATTTAAATAGAATATTGAAAACAATTTTTGAATTCAGACGAAAATATGCAGTACATAAAACAGCCCACTCAATAACGCTCAAGCATACCAGATCGTATTTGACATTTTATTGTTTATTAATATTCGTACGATATGTACTTTAATTTCCTAAATCATGCGAAGGGCAAAGACTTTCTTCAGTTATCCGGTTTGAAACACACAAGAAGATCGGTGGCCTTGGGTAGGTTATCTGAAAGTTATCTGACGCACATTCAATGTATGTGATCCTTCAACATAAACACTGATAATTCATTTTACATTATCTGAAATGCATGAAACATTTACAAACTAAATAATCTAATAAAATTCATTTAGTATTATTCTATGTAATCTAATATAATTCATATATTGATATAAGAAAACGCTCGTGTTATATATATTAGTAGAGGGTTTTAGTGCGCGCGCGTTCGTTTGTGTTTTGTTTTGATTTCGTTTTGTTTGTTTTTGTTTTGATTTTTTTCTTTCTGTTTTGATTTTGTTATTGTAATACCTTAAATATTACTTTAAACAGTAAAAAGGGGAATCTCAATAAAATAACGATTGCATCCCTTATCAGGTATATCATCAACTAATGAATGACAAAAAGTAATAAAATCAAGTAGTGACGACCACGAGGCAAATGCTGCATTTTCTAAATTGTCAGTCAGCCAACAGTGAGAGTATTTAACGATTAAGTGGAATTCGCCTCGTAGATTCTTGCGGTCCTATGCAATCATATTTGCGCAGTTACTGCACAGTTTGACAGGTTCTTTTTTTATGTTATAATACACTCAGAGTGGATCAACGTGAAAATCTTCAAAAGTAAATATTTGAAATACCACCGCTAATTTACAGAAAAAAAGTGTATTATATTTACATACTCATTAAGATGGATGGAAATTGATGGTTGGGTGATAATATTAATCATGATAAGAAATTACGACTTTGACAATGGCCTCTATTTTATCAAAATACTGCGTAAATCAACGTAATTACGTTCTCTATTTAACAAATAAACGTCTAAGCTTTTAAGCATTTTAAGCGGAAGAGAATTATTGTCCTATACTTTGAAGTTACTTTAACCTTGACGAAAAATAGAATAAACACTGCTGATATGTGCTTAAGTAAACGAAAAATTAATCCAATGCTAAAAAGCTGGTTAAGTTAATATTTACGTAAGATATCTAAGTGAAGGCCGCTGTTCTTTCTATTTTTTTTCTTTTGGAAGATGTAAATAAAAGACTATATTAAACGAGTTGATGCACATATTCATAAAGGCGTGATTGTTTAATTATGTTCAATTTTGTCTGTCATTTCGTTTCTTTCCTTATTTATCAGCTGACAATGCGGATGAAGAAGCAGTTATATGATTTATGTGTCGCGTCAAATTAAAGATAAATTTATGCAAGAACCTAATTCGGTTCGCTTTTAACAAACACATATATGGACGCATGCAACATTGCGCTTGCAAAACTGATAGGCAAAACAATTCAGGGTTGAACAAAAGATTTAATTTTTGATTTATTTGATGCAAATACTAATCGATCAATTAGTTTATAAGAGATTGGGATGTCGGTAACAATGCATTCTCTTTGTAGATAGATAAGTTAAATGTAATTGTTTTACTTCCAGATGTTGAGTATTATTGCGGAAACAAACCCGCTGATGTTCTCTTTATTCTCGACGTTTCGAACAGCATTTGGAGGCCAGATTTTCAGAAGCAACTCGCCTTTGTTAAAGACGTTATTGGAATGTTTCAAATTGCCGACAACATCACTCGTGTTGGAATAACGACGTTCAGGTGAGATAACTCATTTTGTAAAGTGCGTAAGAGTTGTCTTCGTAAACAAGGCATATTGGACCTTTGTGCCAAAATAAGGCATCTGTCATTTTCCTTAAAATGATTTTTCATAACAGTTTTGTGTATAAAATCATGTTAGGAATATAAAACCATATACAACTTTCAATTATTACTAATGTTTGTTTGTCTTTATCAGTATATGAATGTTCACATTTTCTTAAAATAATTAAAAATGTTATAAGCACAATAAGTGAACAACTAACATAATGATTACATCTTTTTTCCGTTATGCAGTTCCCACGTGTACCGACAATTTTATCTGAATGATTATTATAACAAGGAGGATATGCAAGATGCTGTGTCTAGAATAACTCAACGTCATGGTATCTCAACTAACACCGGGCTCGCTATCTGGCACATGCGCAGAAGAATGTTCACAATAAGGCATGGTGCAAGACCTGATGTTGCCAAGGTAAATATTAAATTCATCAAAAAAAGGGTTATTTCTTTATAAATAAGTCCGACGATTAATACAGTTACTAATAAAAGTACAATAACTTGGATTTGAATTATATAGAAAGAATTACGAAAATAAGAAGTTATATACAAAAGATGTTCATTTCCAGATTGCAATCGTTTTGACGGACGGACAGTCACAACACGTTTCTCGTACAATGTACGAGGCCGCCAAAGCAAAGATGAAGAAAATTACAATGTTTGCTATTGGTATAGGAAGTCGAATCAATGAACGAGAATTGCAGGCCATCGCCAGTGCCCCATCCTCTGAATTTATGTTCAAAGTTGATAGTTACTCTGCCTTGGAGAAAATCAAGAAAACCCTAGCTGTTCGAACATGTAAAGGTGAGTACCATTTTCGTATATGTATACCATTCAGAAAATGGTTTGCGGCTGTAAATATACTGTGCTCTTATAATATCAGGTGAAAAAATATTTATAATTGTTGATGGCGTTAAGTATGGGTAAGAGTTCGTATTAAGACGACCGTAGGGAGTCTTATCGAACTCTTACCCATATAACTGCAAATCGGCTCTTACAACTCGATATCAGATAAAAATATAGAAAGTGTCTCCTCTTTAATTAAGCATAACATTATTTTTCCCCAGCAGTCACGTACAAACAAGGATGGGGTCCAATTACTTAATCTGGCATGTAAAACAATGAGTTTTCAACAATACCTAGGATTGTTAATGCAATTCATTCCTGTTAATGAAACAAAATAATGTTTTGCTTACTTTTTCTAGAAAATATAAAACAGTCAGCAATTAATAATTGACATTTTTCATAGAGTTTAAAGGATATCAAAAAGTTACTGTGTTCACATTTGTCTCTGCGAGCTGAGCTCCACGTGCATTATCTATGTAATAAATTTGAATGTATCCTCACATTGCTACAGTGTTATCAGCCTTTTTAGAAACACCTGACCTGGCTAATTAAAATATGCCAATCACAATTTTCAATATCAGCACTGGTTTCTTCATGAAATAGCGGCTACACTAATTACTGCCGAGTAAGAGTCGATTTGCAGTTATTATACGTAAGTCTCGTATTGTGTTTAAAACAAAATTGCAATATAAAGAATGTTTTCATAGTGTGTTCCATGTGCCAGAGTTTTTCAAACAAGACAATTCAGTCTTGATTAGATATCATATTTTCACGCTCAGATTGTTCATTATCGCGAAACAATATCTGCTATCGTTATAGAAATATTTTAAAGATATAATCCGCCTTGTTGTTGTTTTATAATTGATTAAACTTCCAGATAAACTTAGTATCTGTTACATTACATTAAAATAAATGAAGTTTTAACGAGACAGCCGCTCGGTTAACTAAACAGTCTAACAATATCAAAGAATGCCTAGGCGTGTGAATGCGCCGTTTTCAGACAGCGTAAAACACATCTAATTTGCTAATTGAAAAATCTTACGTTTTAAAAAATTTAACCTTCACGATTGCCTAAGATATACTGAAACAATGGGATTTAGACCTAAATTTGAACTCTGGCGCTCATTTGCCATTATAGATAAATAAAGATAAGAAAATAGCTGACTCAAGTGAAAAAAGTTTTGAAAACCTAGATTAGATATTTATTAGATATTGACTATTTTGCTTAGTATTACCGAGATTGAATTTATAATGATATTCAGGCTTAATAAAACCTGCATTTCAATCAAGTTTACCGTCGCCATGTAATCATTTTTAATGCATTCAGTATTTGAATTTTAAATGAATAAAATGATACATAAAATTGAGAAAATTTGAGGTTACTTATTCCTTACATTTATATTTAATATACTCATCATGTCTGGTTAGAACATTTGTGAAATTTTAATCATATAATTTCTTATTTATAATCGTTTAATTGTATTTTGCACATGTTTTTGCGTGTTCAAAAAATGAAAACACTTGTTTTCGTAATAAAGCGTTGCTTCTAGGGCATACACGCAATAGCACACAATTGTTAATTATCATAATAAAAGCGGTATTATGATGAAAAAAACTCAAGAAAGAAATAAGCTATAATAAAAAGAACGATTAGTATGTTAGAATATTAGCTTACTTATATTAGCTTACTTATTAAATGTATATAGATGTATATTAATGTACACGTAAATCATTTTGAGGACACTTCCAGGATGGACCTGTGCATGCGACCCCGCCTTTATCATTGTTGGGTATTTTAACGTATGTTAATTTTTTACTCACCAGCGTAAACTGACAAATAATTGAGTCTAACCCAACGGGCTATTTGTACCTTTAGTAAGGAAGTGGATTGTGGTTGCTTCTTCTTTAGTTACTGTAAGATGGTGTAACCGCTGGACCACGCGCCGATCTTAATTGCCGTGTGTAGTAAAACATTAATATCGCGTTAATATCATAAACTGTACTTTCAAATCCGATTAATCTGAAACAAGTCGGTAAAATTGTCATTCTAGGCACGTGCATTGTATATGAATATTTTATGTAATTTATTTAAATTTCAAATAAGATTTTGTAATCAGATATCATTCGCGGGGATACTGTAAACACCATATTTATCATACAATATTTCAAATAGTTGTCAAATATTTCTTGTTTATAATACGTAAAAGTCTAAAGAATGTAAAACTTGTTGATTTACAAATGCAGCGTGATTGTAAAACTATGATTAAATTTACTTTCATCAGAGATTAAGACCAAAACTTTATTTAACAATATGCTGAAAAATGTCGTAATGATTTCATGTCAATAATTAAAAAGCATTCAAATACTATTCACGCAAGCATTTTCTTGTAAGCACTTACTTTATGCATTATAATGTTGCATGGTAGGATAATAGTTCGATGCACTTCATTAATCTCGATGAAAACAACAGCTAATGCAGGTTAATTGGTTAGTTTAGTTTTATACGAGTTTATTTTAGTTAGATTGTGTTGGAAGCTATAAAATTATTGAAGCACTTTCCCATCTGTTCCCGGAACCAACCAGTACTTAGCAATTAATTGTTAAGTTGCTCAATGAAAACAACGGCTTGCCCCTGATGGGTTTTCAGCCCACTCGGTCAGCAATTCTTAGATTACATGACCGACGCGTTAACCACTCGGTCACGCCGGCAGATCATAATTGTTTAACTATCGTACCAAACATATACCTCGTATATATGTATTTCGTTGTTATAATATTTTGTATAAATATTGAATCTAAATTAATGTCGTATTTCTCAATTTCAGTGACGACACCATCGACAACAACATCAACTACAACTACAACCACTACGACTACCACCACCACAACAACAACAACAACTCCGTCTACAACTACAACCTCATTGTATGACGTTGCACAAAGAGGTGAGCATTTCAAATGTTTTGATCTGTGAAATAAATTAGCTGTTTCCAATTTTGAAACTTTCTATTTGAGTATGAGATTTTTTTAATAATATTTTTATAGGTTTCAACATACGATAATATCTAACCGGATCAGATTATACAAAAAACAACAAGTTAATCATGATGAAGCGAACATGTCAAATAGGAAACAAATGTACTATATATAAGCACTATATATAAAATATTACCGACTTTAAATACCATTTAAATGGCAAAAAGACGAACCGTCATTTTTGGCTTGTATCTTCATCAAAGAAAGTAATGTATCAATAAGGCAAAATAAAATAGAAAATAAAAATTTGCTCAATATTGGCACGAGAGAATAAGAAACAATGTTTACTTTTTGCAACCTTAATATCAAATACTGAAGTTATCTTAATGAAGATGCACACAGAAAACGATTTGATCACAAATAATGTGTGACTATTTAGTCCTAAAGAATGTTTAATAAATAAAATGCTTTTATATCTGAATTACTTCATGAATTATTTTCGTATGGCTTTAACTTGTTGATCAAGAAAGACACCTGTTATCATTAACTGCATAACTGTAATATCAGATTGTACTACAAAACATTTTCTTTTGCTCGGAGACAAACAGATTACGTTCATTCCGTGAATGAAACACATTATCATGTTGCTTTTTTGTATGGCTATCTCATCTTCAGGTATTTTATGTTTCACTGTCAGGGCATATAAATATGATGTTTAATCTCGCATGCAATGAATTCCTTCTCATATAATTATATAACTATATCAAAGAGTGTGCGGTTTTTCTTTGAAGGCCCACGTACAAGTAATTTCTTTTGAGACTCAGTCACTGTCTCGATTAGAAATGATATCAGTTTGCATAAAAAAAATCATATCAATTTGCATTTCAGATAAAAATCGACAAACACTAATTACTGTCTAATGATTACATTGCATTATGCATCATCTATTCCACCATTAAAGTGTAATTTAAAACTAAGGCATACTGCATACACAGGTGATGTTTACTCCCTCCAATGTTATCTCATAATAATTGCAATTATAATTATACAGTATCACCTATTCTGAAGAAATATCTAACTGCACGAAACTTACGCGCCTGAACGGATTTCTTCCATCAAATGTCTTATTATGTATAAATTTCGTCGGATACAATTTACAACACAAGTACCAATTAATTGTGGGTACCCTGGGGTAGATTTTATATAATAAATCAATTAATGTAAGCTAAATGCATGTTGAGGCAGTTAGATTAAGCACAGAAGCTCATTGTAGGTGTTTGCAGTATCAGTTTACCATATCATCATGTCAAAGAAATTCTTATCCTTCCATCACAGCAGGATAAAACTGTCTGAATAAAATATGACTAATAAATTCAAATCAGACCTAAAATAGAAATATTTCAAACGCCTCTTGGTTTGTAATCCATTTATGAGAAATTTGAATTTTATGACTAAATAAGGAAATAACATTAACCGCTTTATAAAAGGTGTTTTATATTTAGAATATAAATACGTGGGACGCTTTTGGAGGTTATCTTGTTTTCTTTTTTCTTGTTATACGCCATTCTAATCTAATTAGTTATGCATATTCTATGTGCATGGTTATAAACCTGAATGTTCGTTTTAAATTATATCAAAAATGCATCAAGAGACACAACTTATGATTTATACAGTGATATAAACATTTTCCTTAGATGCTTTTTTGTTTATTAAAACCTATATTACAACATTACACTTCATTTGTTATTCATTAATGTATTCACTACAAATACAAACTATTATATAAACTGAAACTTCAGGTTTGATAGAAAAATATATATCAACATATAAACAAGATCACGGTTGTGGTTTCATAATAATCATTTAGAAGGATGGACATTGTTATCTTATTCTTTGATGTATGCAATTACACATTGAGTAGGTGATATTATATGAATCCAATGGAAGTATATATAAGTTTATAATGAAATAAATTCTACAGTTCGCCTATACGGCTGGTCGAATATAAATCATAAATATACATGCAAAGAAGAATAAACATGTTTGCTGATGTAACCAATAGACAAAATGGGTTATTAATTAAAAAAAAATACAATTTTAGATGTTATGTCAAAAAGAACGATTAATGTCAAGAAAATGTCCTCTCTTAATTGTAAAACAGGGTTTTTGGATGTTGATTATGTGCTTATTATATTGCAATTTCCACTGCCGCCAAAGAAAAGTCTCATGTTAACAAATTATTAGAACACATCTTCAATATTTGTTTCAGCTTGTGCTGGTAGACGTACGGATATCGTATTTGCAATCGATTCCTCTGACAATATCAATGACGCCGATTACATCAAACAAGCCGAGTTTTACAATAAGTTGGCTGAAACACTTGACATCTCCCCTGAATCCACGAGAATCGGTTCCTTCATGTACAGTGATCAGATTCAAGAAATGTTTAATGTTGATGAGTATGATACTCTCGCCGGTGTACAGAAAGGTTTGAGTAAACTCGGGATGACTGCCGGTGGTAACCGTGTCGACCTTGCACTGAAGCAAATGCTGACAAAAAGCTTCAGGTAATCTAATTTCTACATTATTTCTATATATGCTCTTTGTGGTAATGTTTTATTTACGCATAAATGCTTTATATATATGTTCTCTTAAATTCTAAATTACCACATTTAAATGAATTACAATTCATGTTCGGATCGTTAAGAAACAATCAAAATATTCTGAATACACTTAAATAACCTGTTGCATTTCTGTTATTAAAGGAGGTCACTTACTCGTCCAGAAGCTTCTCAAGTTGGCATCATTATAACTGGAAGCCCTTCAAGGTACTTGGAAATATCTAAACATATCGCAAAGAAATCATTAAAGGCTGGTGTTAAATACATTGCTATTGGAGTGGGAGACCAAGTTGATGACGAAGAACTGAGGATCGTTGCAGCCTCCGACGAAAGCCGTATCTACAAACTAGATAGCTTTGATGAACTTAAGGATATCGTTGCACGGGTGGCACTGCAGTCTTGTCAAGGTACACATAACTTGAAATTGACAAGGATTTTAAATACATATATTATAAATACTTTTCATCCGACTTGTTTTAGAAGCCGTGCTTATAATAGCTAAATCGTTCAGATTTTAACCAAAAAGAAAAAGAAAATATTACGCCGTCATATTCTATATATTTGCTGGTCGTCTCTCGCTGCAAAAAAATTATTTCCTGTGGAAACTTAGCAATTTTACAAAATGCTCAACTGTTTTTTCTTCAATCAAATGTAATTTGTTATAGAGTTTACGACTAAATTAACTTACCATGAGCTCATTACCTTCAAAATGGAAGTTTCATGATTTATGTTCTTTCTTTTCAGTTGCTATTCCACCTCCAACTGTTCAAGACCAACGTAAGTTTTATCATTTTTCTTATCAACACAATAAAATGAATCTAAAAATTTCAAATTTCTCATTCTGAAAACAAAACGTGACAAAATGCTACTTAAAAAACAATTTTCTCAGCAGTAAATGATATAAAACATTTGGTTACAGTTATGAATTTTCAAGAGCAGCATGTAACCTCAATGCAGTAGTTGCATTTTTCCTTATTATCCCCGAGCTAAAAACGCTAGTTCTACTTGCAAAACCTTGTAATTTTATTACTAGCTAAATATATATCTTGTACTATATCTGTAGATAAAGTACAATGATCCATATTTTTGGCTCACATTACCGTTGTTAAGTTGTTGAAAGATACTTGCGTAGAAAAAGATGTTTTAAGAAAAACTAATGCACTTTTTAAAATGATTTAAATAGACATGTTTTTTTTTGTTTTTGTTTTAGCAAATTCGGCTTAATTTTGCTTCTTACGAAAGCAAATCTATGAATATCCTTATATTATTGGCTATTTGTTTGGCTATGAATATATCATTCTCCGAAAAAGTCAAAATACATAATAAATCATTTTTCTATTAGTACAGGTATATGAAATATATTGCTGAATGTCTTTTTCTTTATTTTAATAAATAGGATGTGGAAGTAAACAGGAAGCAGACATAATGTTTTTGCTGGACAGTTTGAATGCTGGTAAACGGAATACAAGGACAGCTCTTGGATTTATCAAGTCTCTAATTAACGAACTGGATATTGAGAACGACAATATCCACATAGGACTTATGTCGGCAGAATGCGAGGAAGACACTGTTGGATTCGGTTTAGGGGCACATTCCAGCAAGCAAGAGTTTGAGGAGACTTTTACAAACATGAAAGCCACAGACTTTCATAAAATCCTACATACAATGAGACGTAGATCTTTCAGAAGTACTAACGGAGCGAGAAAACATGCCAAGAAAATAGCGATACTGATAATTGATGGTAGTTTGGAAGAACCACTGAAAGCGTTGACTGAGGCCCAAAGAGCTAAAATTCACGGCATAGAAGTTTATGTTGTCCAGGTAATTAAAACAGATACATTGTAGTATTTGTCTTTTCTAAATTCGTCATTTCAAAGAACCTTGCTTGAATAAATATTTTTGATGATTTGCATACAGTTGAATATACAGATTATGTTGACCGTAATCATCTTGCTATATATGTTTAAACATTACTTTTTGCTTCAATTTCAATAGCATACACGAATATCTTTCCAAGTTTATTCCGTTAGAGTAATATGATCATTACCACAAATGATAACAACCCCCAACAAATTGACATATTATCTGTATACATTTGATCAGGTCGGTGATGACGAACCACAAGAAGAATTACGAATGATGTGTGATGAGTCATCAAATCAACATTTCTTCAATGTAAAATCTTACAAAGACCTGGAAAAATTGAAGGATAGATTACTACAGTCATTATGCGATGGTTAGTATTTACTTAGTAGCTTTACCATTATTGATTAATAGCATTAAATAATTAATATAAAAGTATCATAATGTATATCCCAAAGTCAGTTGCTTTTCCACTGTATTTATTCTTTGATCTTGATACTGACAAATTCATCTTTGCCAGCTTTGAATATAAAATGTATATCGTTTATGTTTTCAGAACTATAAAACAACCCTTGAGACGTGGTATGTGTGTAAAGCTTATCTGTGATTCCAAATTCCAAACATTTCGACGACTCAGGGTAGATTCTACGGCCTGTTTAAGGAAGAGTTATTAATGTCACAGCCAGGCTGTGTAGACAAGGTGACGATGTACATATAGTTGCATTTATAGGTACGAAGTAGACCAAACAACGGACCGTTGTGTATAAAAAAAGCTGTAAAAAAGACAAAGATAGAAATGTTTACAGCATAAATGAGCAAGAAAATGAACCATTTGTGACGGAACTGATCATGCTTCTAAAATAAAGGGGAATATTTGACAAAATCGTTACAGAAATGGTCGTTTCTGGAGGTCATGTAAATCTACCTTTGAAAGACCACACCTTGCATTTATGTTTGCGCTGTGATATATGTGCTTATTCTAAAGGGTAAATGTGCAGCGTGTCTTCTTCTACGAATTAATTATTTTGTGTAAAAACGTACAAAGAATCAAGCTATAAATACATTTTACACCACTCAGTTTTATGAGTAACTTAATTAATTTCTACATTCGAACTATTTGACCAAAGAACACTAATGAGTATATTTGTAGTAAACAAAATGGGTATGTGCAATAAGTAGTCATACAATCAAATATTTGGCTTTGAAAAAAAATGTGGATGTCAATGTTAATGCATTATAAATGATGATATCAATATCATCACTTTGCAAGCCTTTTAACATTGATCCAAGTATGATGTAACAGTATCGCTGTATTATAGAAATTGATACGTACTTTTTATTTAGAGACTTTATTAAAGATGTAAATGATAAAATGCTTAATGTCTTATTATTGATGTGTTAAAATTATTAAGAATACATCGATGGCATTTGACATTGATTTTATTCTCAATTGTTAAAAAAATAAGACAGTAGAATCATAGACGCATGTTATGTAAATGACGATGTTTTATTTTTCTTTGCTTCTTGTCACATGGTGACTTGCGCTATTCTTTGCTGCTTTTCACCCTGGAAGACAGTGGTAAAGGTTAAATGATTTATTGAGGGCTGCTGTCTTTATCAACATGATTACTTTGAACTATTAATAAAAGATTGAATCCTGGTGATTTTAAGCATGTTTGATACATATCAGACATTAAGGTGGACGGAAAACTTATGACATATATGCCATTTATTTTTCAAAGACATTTCATAATGCAGTCCTCTTTAAATTATTTGTTTTCTTACTACGATGATTCTTTTTAAATAATTGTTGTAATTTTTGTTAAATCGTTAGAAATATTGACGTCTTATAAATTCAGTTTATTTACCTCCATTGACAGCCTGACACAGGCTATGCATTTATCATTTGACTATTCAAATATATAAATACCGTGTACAACATTCATAGATACCTTATAAATGCACGTAGAGGGATGACTGAAAACAGTAGGTCAACGTGTATTTCTATGCCTTTGAAAGTGTAATTCAAATTTTCTTAAAAAATATAGACCATGAAATAGTTTTCTAAATGATGATGTTAAACTTCAGAGGTTTTTAAAAGAATAAATTACATTTTATCATCTATCCGAATTTTTAATGATGACAAACATGTGTATGTTAAATAGGCTGTTTCTTTGCTACACAATATCATACCATTTACATACTAAGTATATGTACATAGCTTTACTAACTTCTTGCATAAATTATGATCATATCAGAGGAATGTCTCTTTTTAATTGAGGAGGAATTAAAAGTACCCTACTTTGACACAAGTTAACTTAGTTCAAATCCAATATGCTGAAGTAAATAAATCCATAATACAGATGACTAAATGATGATAATATTAATATAGAAATTTGAAAGCAATAATGATGTAAGCAGACGGATCAAGTAGTAGTATGAATGGTGTTTGACAGAACAATTTTAAGATTGTTTAAATGATGTTGTTTGTTTTATTCTATAGTACACGTATTGATTATAAAGGTACATTGAATATATATAATAACTGTTTCATCAAGTCTTGTTAAACTATTGGAAGTTATTTCCCGATCATTGTAATTATATTTCATATACATTTTCATTACTGTTGATATGTCCATATCTGATAAATGTTAAATCCTAACTGACAATTTGTTTTTGTATTATTTATTATATACTTTTATTGACTTTTTGTACATACATATGTTGAATGTAAAAACATTCTATGAATAAACGTGTCTATTAAAAAACTATGTGTTGTTCACTTACAATCAAATGTTGCTGTAAAAAAGATTAGTGGCGGCGTGGTTGAGTGGTTAATGCGTCGGACTAGTACTCTAAGGATTGCTGACCGCGTGGGTTCAAACCCTGTCAGGGGCAAGCTTGTGTTTCCTTGAGCAAGAATTTTACATTCATTGCTTAGTACTGGTTGGCTCCAGGAACGGATTCGAGAGTGTTTCAATAAGCTTATAGCTTCCAACACAATCGAACTAAAATGAATTTGTATAAACCAGAAAAGAAGATATTACATGGAAAAGAGAGATCCTTGAGAGCAATACAAACAACAACAAGTAGTTAGAAAACCGCAGACTGTTTAAAACACCAATAAATAGTTGGAAAACTGCAGGTTGATACCATTTTATCACATTTATCATTGTTGTATGTATTGTGTCATAACATATAAACATGTATGCTATGGTCACTCCACTGAGGTCCAAATGTCTAAAATCATAGAATTTGAATTTCTTACACAGATCATCTTAGGCAACAAAATCGGAAAGATATGCAAAGGAAATACAGAAATATACTCGGAAACAAATGTATATTTGTGTTATTCTTAGCCCGAGTTGACTTTCAATTTTTACAATGAGAAAGATTTTTAGGTGAGTTTTAAGTCGCACCAACACAGAAGAGGTCATATGGCGATTTTCCAGTTTTACTGGTGGAGGAAGGTATCATGTCCCCATCCTTGCATTATTTCGGGCACGAGTGGGCACTGACTAGAACCATTGACGTTCCGTAAGTTGTTTGAATACCTGTCTCACGTAAAGGAATAAAAAGTTTATTCCACAAAAGTGAGAAGCAAAGATTGAAGTCAACGACATTAAACACTCGGCCACGAAGACCCCTACAATTTAAATAACATTTTGCAAAAAAAAAAATATGTTTCAAAGTAAATATGTTGTTTATCAGTGCATGTAATTATTATTTGTAACGGACACTTTCGCTGGCAGATGTTAGTATGCATCACTATAATTTAAGTGCATAAATGAAGAAAGGAAAAAAATATTATTAGCTCTGAAATTAAAATTGTAGATGTAAATTCAATTTATAGCTTGCTTTAAACCTAGTTCGTAGATAATAATTCGATAGAGAGTAACTAATTTCGATTTTGCTTTGAGATAAGAGCCATTTTTAAAATCGATAATTATTTTGTATAATGCAACGATCGATATGAGAGACAGTCTTAAACAGTCATTCAAAAGGCTAGCTCTGAGATTGATATTCATTTTCTTATAAAAGGAGAGTATTGTGCTAGCACTGAACTTATATCCAGCTCTGGGGATATAGATTGAAATTTCGAGCTAGCATCAATTTCAGAGCCAACTCTGCGCTCAAAATTGAATTCTTTAAAATATTAATATTATGCTTCCGACGAAGTCATAGCCATATTATAGATCTTCATACAGTATAACAAACTAATATCGTGCTAGCTTCGAAATTGAATTCAGAGCCAGCTTTAATGTCGATGTTCATAAATATTGAAAAATAAAACATCGTTCTAGCATGGAATTCAGTTCTGACACCAGTATTCAAAAAAGAAAAGAAAAATAAAGATTAACAAGGTAAAGGCAACGTTCACAGGACGCAGCCCCCGACACACCCCAAATAGGGCACCCAGAAGGCACCAAACAAAAACCTGGAGTGGAGATAAGGGCAGCGAAAGGAGTGGGACGTGTAAATTGTGAAATAATATAACCTAAAACAGGCCCATATGGAAATTAAAGGGATAAGGGCTGCAAGCGTGAAAAGGGGGGATAAAAATGGGAGAGGAGGGGGTGTGAGAAAATACCTACCGTCAACGACAATCCAACAAGACAGACATCACAAAACATGTAAACATCCAAAACAAGTAACAATACAGACATGAAAAAACACGTGAAGGAACACAGAAGGGTACCGCCTTGGAACGGCCAGTGGTTGTTAAACCACTGGGGAGTTTAAACCGGTTTTAGGCGCGCCAAACCTCACTCATAGCCCCAATATGTTCCTGAATGACACGAAAATGTAAATTAAATTAATCCCTGCCAAGTGAAATTCTAACAAAGGTCGTGCTTACATTAGGCAAATAAATAAAACACGTAAAAGATTGTGTAAATATGTAGAAAAACGTACAGCCTAATGACCATTATCTAGGTACCCGATGCCTTAAAGGAAGGCAGAGCAACAAGAAAATCACCTACAAGGGCCCGACAAAGCATGACAGAAGACTAACATTAAAACAATTCAGTCCCAAAGGGCTTTAAGAACTGTCCATCATAGAGTCTTCCACTAAGTCCGTCAGATGTAATTAAAAAAGGAAAGCGTAGCGTCCAACTGTGACAGGGTTGAACAAGCATGCGGTATGCCTTAAAGTAATTGGGTCATAACCTCTTTTAATAAACCGTTTGATAATTTTAGTGAAGACGGCAGAAAAATTACTATGACCCATGACCATACGAAGTTTGTAAAATATGACAAACAAGATCAACAAGGAAAGGCGGCGTTCAATGAACGCAACCCCCATACGACCCAGCAACAAGAACCAGTGGCAAGGAGCCCAGGCGGACCCCAAACAAAAACAGGACAGGGTACAAGACAGAGCACGGACAAGTTAATCACTAAATGATAAATAATTTGTAACTTATAAGGAATTCAAAGAAAACAAACCACATCTTCATAGAAATAAGGTTCCAAATTCATGCAATGCTATTTCGAACTGGCTCTAAAATAGAGAAAACCAGAATCCCAAAAACACCCAAACACGGCAAAATTGTTGCAGGCTTGGTTTGGTTGAGTCTGTCCATGGACGGTACTGGAAAGTGCAAGTAAACGTCTAAGCCCCCTAACACAGTAGTACTATTCCATGAAAAACGGCATAGTAAAAGAAACTGTGTGCCTTAAACGAGAAAACAATAGACGGCAAAAGACAAATTTAAAAGGCAGGCAACATATCCTAAGCATGATTATACAGTATTCAAGTAAGAATACTGGAACCACCTAAGTTGAAAAAGGCCAAATAGAAGAAACTAAAATACCACATGACATGTATACACAACAATAATGTCGTGCTGAATAATCTACAAGGATCGAAAACCTAAGTTATATAAACATGTTATCAACAAAAGGCGAATAGCAGTAATGCATGCCTCAAGCAATCACTCTGCCACTCCAGAAAATGTCATATTTGCCTTTTTAACACTTTAAGGCCTGCAAGTTTTTTTCTGAAATTGGAATCTCTTTGCCAATTTAGGTAACGATATTTTTGTTTAAGGGTTTTAATCCGACGCATAGGTTTACTTACTCAGATGACATCCCAGTGTTTTCCTGGATTTTTCAATGTCGATATCACCTTTCGGTTACTATTTCAAAGACTTCGCAGACTTCAAGGAATCTGAATGCCAATCAAGATTATGATACTTTTCATTTCAAAGGACAATCCAGAGTTTATTTTATAGGTCTGCAGCTGTTTTCAGTCTTACTGTACTCTTCTTTGAATTATTGTACACTTCAAGGGACCCCGGCAGCATTCGTTATAATGACATTATATTACACCCCCGAGTCTATAACAGTGGTCTGCAAAGATTTCTGATACTTATTTTAGATTTCTAGATTACCATGAATGAAGTCCGGTGGCAATCGAAACTATGACATTTTTTATTTATAGGACCCCACCTCGGAGCCAGATCAAAATAAAAAGCCAGCTTGAAAATGAATTCCGATCTCATAGTAAACTTCTCTAAGCTAGTTATATTTACGGGAATGTATTACTTCCTACATAACGTTAGGTTGTAGTTGACACGTCATATGGCTATTATGGATAAGAGTAAATTGATATTTAATTGAGATAGATGCAATCGCGTTTTTGTAATTTTAAACATTTAAATGTAAATGAATGTGTAATCTTATATGAACATTATGTCTCTTAAATATCAATAACATTCTATGAGGTATAACCTTACAGTAGGCCATTGTGGAGATGTTCTTTTTTTTTCAATTAAATTTAATGTCATTAATTGATATGTGGTGATTTTTTTAGATGAATAACTATTCATCAAATACCGGTAAATGTTACATGTCGGTTATAGATATTAAAATATATATTGTTAACCAGTCTTCAATTAATCAAATCTGTTGAATAAACTATTAATTTTTTTATCTTAAGTATTCTTGGGAAAGGCACGGAAGTAAAATCACGTCCCCATAAAAGTCAGGCTTGTTAATTCCTTGTCGCATCACCATTGAATTTTGGAATTAAATCAAATTACGAAAATAAAATATTTTCGTAATTAGTGATAACAGCAGTCCTTCTAATTCTATTGATGACTCCAAAGAGTTATGTCCCTTTTTAATTCATATTTTATTTTTATGCATATAGGACATTTGAGTGATATGACCATATATGATGCTCTTTTGCTTTAAGCAGCCATCTTCTAAATCGGATTTTTCATTTCAAGTAGAATTAACACTTACAATGCTAAAAATCTCAATTTAACTTGTCCATTTTTTAACCTGGGCAAAATCATTCATTATTTTAGAGACAATGTGTCCAGACAGAATTAGTAAACAGTGCAAATCGTGATCTTGGTCTGCCGCTGCTAGAAAAGCTGTTGCAAATTTTCATAAAACTCACACAATTTTAAAATGATGGATACAATTTTTTAAGGCAATAAAAAAGAGTAAAGCAGAATCCCTAAAGAAAGCCCAACACAACAAAATTGAAAATGTTGCAGGCTCGGTTTGATTGAGCCTGTTCATGGACGGTACTGGAAAGTGCAAGTTACCGTCCACGCCCCCTAGCACCGGCTTAAGCAGAATTCAACATTTAACACGAAAAGGTGAAATCGGATAGTGCAAAAAAATAACCAAGATGAATTAAGTTGAAATATAAAATTCAATTAATGATTTGAATAGATAAATTTCAGCTTCACCAAGGAATATTAAATAAATTTAGTATGGTGTTTCGTGTTCTTATATGGCTAGGTAATGTAGA